CTTTCTTATTCCAGTCAAGGAAAAAAAAAATTTTAAGTTGAGAGTTGGAAGCACAGTGTGTTCTGCTTCTCCAAGACCATCTGCTCAGCTCCCCTCCTCCCTATGTCCTCTACTCCTTTCACCTACTTTGCAGGTGAAATTCTTAGGTTTTTTGAAAAAGAAAATTCTAGGAGGCTAGCAGGTCAAGCCAGAGCAATGGGGAGTGTAGAGCTGGTTATCTGTGGATTAACAGCAAGGGTGTTAAAATTTTAAATTGAAATTTAAATTTTAAATAGTTAGCTAGCACCAGGGACCTACCAAGCCATAGCAGAGTCTGAAGCAAACAAAATTCAGTAATACTGATCCTGTCTCTATTAAACATTTGGGATTTTTCCCATTATGGGCTACCACATGTTGTGATTTTTTAATTAAATATTACATTAAAATATTATTTTCCTTGATTGATGAATCTCTCCATTACATTACAGTCCCTTAAATTTCTCTCCAGAGGAGAAGGCTTTCCTTGTTCCATCCTGGCTGGCACACACAAGTGCTTGACAACCAACCACACCAGAATTCTTTCTGGAAGCATTTGTTTGAACCAAATGGCCTGTGTTTGCCCTCCTACTGTACATAATCATAAAGTCAGGCCCCAGGAAGCACTTCAGTTCATAAAAGCAACTTTCAGCTTTGAATCATTTTTAGGACAACAGTTGTTAACAAGTAACTTTAAACAATAATGTCTGTAATTAAAGTACAAAATGAAAACATTCGCCACCCTTCCATGGCACATATTTCTGTGTTGATGCTGGCAGCTCTGCTAACTAGCAAGCTATTGAGCTATTGTTTGCTTTAACGATGCATTTTATCATTCTACAAACAACCATGAACAAGAGTGAGAGGAAGAGAGAACAAAACAATCTGTCTTCATAGTCTCAAGTATATTTTTCCATCCTGAAAAAGCTTTTTTTGGCCAGTGAAGGGAACTAAAAATGATTTTCTAATTTTGTCTGAGAAAAGTCAAAACTGGAAAAGATTTCTCCAGATATACCCTGGTACTTTTTATTCTTTAAGACTATTTGACACAGTGAGAATATTTATCCAACTCTTTCCATTTAGGGTACTGAACACAAAAAACACATGTTGTGAGATTGTCTTCCTTAGAAATATACCCATCTGATTAATTTGGAGGAATAGTTTGATTCCCACGTCCTCTTGCCCAAAAGGAAGATGGGTCAAGCCATGCGATATAGTAAAAAAGAGGAAAAATTTAGACCAGGGAGGAGTGGAGAGGCAGAGTAAGGAGGGACCCTTGGTCCCTCTTTATGTGTACCAGCCCCTTCCCAACCAAAACCTTGGCTCCAGGCCAAGACACACACTCTGTTGACTTTAAAACTGTTAATATAATGAGAGTAAGACATCAGAGCTACATATTCACATACAAATACGTGTGTGTGGTGTGTTTGTGTGTGTGTGGGGGTGGGTGGAAGGAAATGAAACCAATCCCTTCTTTTCACTCACTGGAGAAACTTAATATATGCTCTTGATAAGACAAATGAGGAAATGACTAGTGTTGATTCTATTAGATTTTCAAGGTACTTGATTTTTTCCTTTGCCTTTCAAAATAGCAGGCTAAATTGTCTACCTCTATTTAACTCAGGCTGTGGTAACAATTCATGAGAATCCTGACAGTCTATGTGGCTGGCAGCAGGGAAGGCTGGAGAGAAAAGTGACAAGAACCCTACAAATTGATGGGACCCTGTGATATGAAAGGAGTGGGGGGAAACCCTGCATAAAGAGTTTGAGCCAGATCTTCCTTACTGGGGGATTATAACAGACCATTTTAAAGTGGCTCCAATTCCTCACCCTTTATATCCATGCCTTGCCAATGAGCAATTCTTCTAAGTCCTACTATTTGATTCTAAGTTTTGCTTTGGACATTAGTACATAGGATTCAAGGAAATGCTTGAACAATGCCTGCCCCATCTTACATTTCTGCTGTTGCCATGAGCAGGCTATGCCTGCCTAGCCTCCTAAAGAATGACACATATAACTCAGAGCTCAGTGGCTATTGTTGCCCAGTCTAAGACCAGCCTGTATTAGCCAGTAGCCAGCTGATCCCCAGATATCTAAACAACCAAGCCAGGATCATCAGAGTGACCTAGCTAACCCTAGTTGATCTTGAGCATCTGAGCAGAAAACATTAATTTTTGTTACACTACTGAGGTTTTGTTTATGAAGGTTTGCCTCCCCCTCAGGTGTTCAAAACAGGCCACCCCAAGATGGGTCACATTGTCATGTAGATTATTTCAGTGTGAGCTCAATCAAAGTCCTTGAAGCTCAATAGAAACTTTTACTTCCCCCTGAACTACCTAGAAAAATGAAAATTTGAGGTACTCCCCAGAATTTTTACCATGAATAACCTTTCTATAAGAGAAATCTATCTATATGGCAGGAAAAAACATCTAATTACAGAGCATCTGGTCTGCATCATATGAGTCACTCTTCATCATCTGAGTCCTCACCCCACCCCTTGCAGTCCCAGGCCTTTATTCCATGCCTTAGCTCAGGATACATACCGTCAATATCTTTTCTGGAATTAGAATCCACCTCTTCGTAGATTCTCCATATGTATGTAAATTTGACATTGTTTTCTTCTTTAACTAATCTGTCTGATGTTAATTTGATTGCTCAACCAGGCTAAAAAGAACCCACAGGGATCAAATTGTTACACAGGAAATGCTAATTGACACAGCCTCTACCCTGCAACTTTTCTACTTACATGACCAACACTGATTCATGACAGGGAGAAGTCATTCTAGCACTTATAATTTATCCAGAATCATTTACAATGAGACTTTCCCATGTGACCAACTGCAAGTAGATCACGTTTCTATTTCTAGCAAGTGAGCGAAAAATGTTCTTTCTCTTTTCACTCCATACCTTTCCAATATAAACCAACTGGTATTCTTGGCTTCTGTAGGTCCACCTCTCCCTAATGCTTCATTCTGAATAACAGAATTTTGGGATCTAGTGAGAAAAAAACCATTCCAAATCAACATCCTCAGTGGGTGGGGGCAAGAAAGGAGTTGTGGGCTTCCCTGGTGGTGCAAAGGGTTAAGCACAGCAGTATGAAGCTATCTACAGACTCTGCAGCACGAGTTGGTTCCCCTGACCAGGAAGCTACCCACATGGCATAGCAGACCTCTCCTGAATCAGCCGCTGCTCCCCCTTAGCAATGTATTTCAGTCAGTCTGCATGTTCTGTTCCCCACTCTGTCTCTGGTGAATCCTCTCTCACACACACACACACCCCACCCCACACCTCTGGCCTATACCCCAGTTCTTGTATGCATAAATAAATCTTTTAAAAAGAAAAGTTTAAGGAAAAAAAAAGAGAGAGAGGAGTTGTACATCAACCAGGATATAAGACCATGGTATAATATGTGGTTTTTTGATACTGCTATATACTAACTGTACAGAAGAGTGCTGGTACGTTGTATTTATCAAATATATAAATATTTGCAAGTAAAGAAATGTCACGTGTGTCATGAAATCTACAGGAGGCAATAGGGGTCCCCAAAGATTAAAAGCTGTCAATTTATACTGCCAGTAACATCAATACCATCTTAGCAATGTGTCTGGGCTCAAGGAGGTGATTCTAAATTCTAGTAAATATATTGTGCCAAAGAGCTGAAGTTGATCCTACTGATTCCAAGTAATGAAGTCACATTAAAGATCATCTTTCCACCACCATAAAATTTTCTTTATAACAGGTGAATACCAGATGGCAGGCAAGCCAATGGTTATTGTATTTCTGTGATGGATATAAGCAAGAGAAGATGACCCCTTGACTATATAATTTGGGGTATGAAAAATGGAATTTATCATTTCATGCTCTAACAAATTAATGAACACAATTATTAAAGGAAGAATGCAAGGTACAGCTCTAATTCCCTGGAAACGATTTCCCGGTGAAAATGATTATCTCGGCTCTATAGCAAGAGCATCTTCATTTTCACAGAAAATAAGTTGAGAAAATGTTTAAAAATAATTAGATTCCAGGAAAGTCAATTAGGCAAGGCCTAATTCTATTTTAAGAAGAAGAAAATGGATAGATTTTTATGACAAGACAAAGTGGAGGATGGAAGGAAAATCACATTAGAACAGCCATTAGATGTTTCAGCTTTCTAAAGGCCACTTCCTCCACCTATGCTGACCCCAGTGGTCTCACGTCTCCATCGTCAAGCTCCACAATATTGGGAGATTTTCCTTGTAATTTGACCTGGTGGAACAGAGTTAAGACAGATCCATTTTCTTTGTCTAAAAAAGTCTTAAATTATGAAAATGATTCATGCGAACACTTAAAGAGTCTGATCACTGCTTTGGGTATATTTCCTAATTCATTCCAGTCCACTTTCAGCAATTTCCTGTTGATGCTCACAATGATTTTTAAAATGAATTTGCATGTTATCTAAAGTTGCATAATACTAATTGCCCCATTTTAAGTTCTCTGTCTCTCTCCCAAGAGAAAGGCAGCCCCCTCTCATGGCAACCATGTCAGAGTTCCAGGAGTGAAGGGAAGAGGCTCCTGTGACGGAGCCAGCAGCCTGCTGACTGGGAGCTGATGATACTCAGGGGCAAAGGAAAAGGACTCTGTGGCTCACAGGTTCAGATTCACTAGAGAAGATTATTGGAGGGGAAGTGATGCATGGAGAGGTGATGCTTGGGTTACATGGGAAACATTTTCTCCAAATTTCTACCGTATTCCTACCCACCTGACAAAGCTCTTAAGGGCAAAACCCAGCCCGAGACGAATATTCTGGCCTTGTCCATGCAGTGACTAAAAAGTAATTATTAGAAATTCTTATTTCCATGTGAGCACACTAGGGCATCTGAGAACTACAGATAGACTGATGGTATGGATTCCATCAGGAACTTACCCTTCTCCCTTATCCCTCTCCCACCCCAAGTTAGAGTAGTCATTTGTCTGCCAAGCCATTGAGTAGAACATTTCAAAGGCTGCAACACAAAAACCATTGCCAGTGTATCTTTGTTCCCAGCAGCAGGTTTATTTCCACACCAAGATCAATTTCTAGAAGTCACAGGACTGCTACAATGGCACACACCATTCAGATTCAGCAGAAAGTCCACAAGAAGCATCAGATGGATGGAATCAGCTGTCACTGCCACGCAGGTGACCAGGGAAGGACAAGAAAAGCAGATCTGAAAGGTTAGATTAGTCTGGGGGGTACAGCCATGGGTGGGGGTTGGTAAGCCTAGAGTCAACAGGTAACATAAGAAAGACAGTGGGGGACTTCGGGTGAGGCAAGAAATCACCATGACTTTAGGAAGAAGGTGGTAGGACCCCTCCAGCCATCCAAGAATATCAGAGCATTTGTTAGAAAATTTGCCCACTGTGTCCCCAACAACAAAGCACAGGTACAATTTTACCAGCAGGAGCAAGAAATCAATTAAGAGCAAAAAGCAAATTGGTCAGGGGATTATGAGTTGACTTTCAGCCCAAGACACAAGGCCAGCTCGGACTTCTGAATTTTTCCATCCTTGTTCACATCGCAGTGACGCAAAAGAATCTCTCGGAACTTATCAAGGTCCACCCCACGGATGCTGGGCTGAAGACAACAAAAATAACATCTTAACACACAGGTAATAGTGGCCCCATCCTATAACGCCACCCACGCCGAGCCCCATGGTCACTGAGCTTCAGGGACACCCTGAACTCTGAGAGCATCTCTGTGGAGACTGAGCATGGAGACACCCTCTCCTGCCAGTGGCTTATTTGCCAACATGTCTCTTCAGGCAAAAGAACTTCCACCCCTACCTCATTCCTCTGCATTCTTATAGACAGCCTGTCTTTTTAGCAACCATAATAAAGATATTTTGCCTTAAAGCAAAGGACAGTCACCACAAATCCTGTCTTGCTACTCTGTTAAGACATATTTTATTATCACCCTGTGGGAAATTTTTGTGCCTCTAGTTTTACAAGGGCCTTTAATGAATGACAATTTAGCTAAAACATTCTGTTGTTCAGCTAGGGATGTCGGATTTATTCCAAAGGATATTTTAGGGGCTAAAACGGAGTCATGTTGCATGTCAGCGAGGAATATATTTTAAATTCAAAGACCTGTCAAGGTGAGCAATACTTGAGTGAAGTGATTCTATACAGGTTTCATTTAATCCCACTGTGACCTTGAGTGGTGAAGAACTGCCCCTTGTTTACAGATTAGGAAGCAGAGACCCAGAAAGCACCAAAGCATCTTGCCAAACTGGAAAGCTGCAACAGCATTTTTGATCCCAAGTCTTTGGTCTTGAGAATCTTTTCACCATTTCTCACTGTCAAGGAGAAACAGCTGGCCTGATGAAACCATATGAATAGTGATGAACAAAAATCGAAAAGTCAGTGTCCAGAAAGAAAGGGAAACTCTATCCATTTGTTGCCCCTTACCCTGGATTACTGGGTTAGTTTTATGTGTATCTGCAGGGTTTGATTTCCAGAGCACCTGGAAACAATTCCCATCACACAGCCTAACCCCAAGGTTTCCTCACTTCCAAAGACATCTCTTCAAAACCCTCAATAGGGGGCCTCTCTGGTGGCACAGGCTGTTGAGCGTGGAGCTCTCCATGGCCCCTGAAGCATGGGTTTGATCCTGGCTGGCCGGGGAGATACCCACATGGTGCAGCAGATCTCTCCTGTCTCGCCCGCTGCTCCTCTCAGCAGTGTATTTCAGTCAATCTGCCTGTTCTATTCCCTGCTCTGTCTCTGGTGAATCCTCTCACCCTCCTGCACATCTGGCCTGTATCCCGGTTCTTGTAATCTTGTGTGCATGGGTGAATAAATCTTTTAAAAGATTTATTTATTTATTTATTTATTTATACAAGAACCAGGGTACAGGCCAGATGCAAGGGAGGGTGAGAGGATTCATCAGAGACAGAGCGGGGAACAGAACAGGCGGACTGACGAAATACACTGCTGAGGGGAGCAGCAGGCGAGATAGGAGAGGTCTGCCGTGACATGTAGGACCCTCGCTGGCTGGCCCAGATCGAACCAGCGCTGCAGAGGCTTCAGACAGCTTCACAGCACTGCCCTCAACCGCCTGCGTCACCAGGGGAAGCCCATGAATGAATAAATCTTAAAAAAAAAAAAAAACCCTCAATAGGGAATAAAACTTTCCATCCTTCAACTAGACAGCCATATTAAAACAAACCAGTTATACTGCCCCTTGGGTTAAAGACTGATGGCAGGTTTCAGCAGAGGGAAGGAGGCATGAGAGCAGCAGGAGCTGGGAGCCAGGGAAAGAGCAAGAAGAATAAAGACCTAAGAGGTCAGGGTTGTGGAGAAATCAGGAGGTGAATATGGACCAGGAGCTAAACTTGGCCAATTTCACTCCCCTACTGGAGTCCCCAAAGGACTGGATTAAGAGGCTAAGATGCAACACTTGTCATTAGGTTCTCTTTGCTGGAACTTACAAAGAATTCCTTAGGTATCAATGACAAGCAGGTAGAAATGTGACTCAAGGGAATGTGGCCTACAGGTCCTGAAAACAGCAAGCTACACCATGTGGCCCTGTATTTGGAGCTCTTTGTTGTACAGTTGCAAAGTGGGGACGTTTGACTTCAGCAACTTCCACCACCTTTGCATCATCCTTTCTCCAATAAGTGGCCCCCTTGGGCTTCCACAATGATGCAGGGGTTAAAGTCTCAGTGCTATTAAGCTATCACCAGCCACTGGGCCTTGGCCTTTCAGTCGCCAGCGAGGGAGCTGACCCACAGGTCATAGCAGACCTCTCCTGTCTCACCCGCTGCTCCCCTCAGCAGTGTATTTCAATGGATCTGCCTGTTGTGCTCCCCACTCTGTCTCTGGTGGATCTTCTCACTTCCTGCACCTCTGGCCTACACCCCAGATCTTGTATACATAAATATATAAAAATAAATCTTGAAAAGAAAAGTAAATAGCCCCCTGCCCCAGGATCCTCCTAGCAAATGCCCACTCTTAGAGTCAGGTGGTATTCATTTATACATTAGTATGATTTAATTGCAGAAGTATTTATTTCATACAAGAGGTAATTGAAGAATGAAACATTTTGCTTCCTAAGAAAGAAATCATTTCCCCCGAGTAAGTGGAACAATTTTTGGTGTGTGAATGATTGTCTTGGAGGGGGTATGAATGTGAGTACATATAAGGGAAGTTTCTTTGGACTTTTTAAGTTATGCTTTTAATGTTCAATAACTCGTTAGGTATCAGGAGACTTGAATGCCACTGCTCAAGAATGCTGGGAAGATTTTTTGATGATGGGAGAAAAATCGCCTGATGTCACTAAGGGTCCCTGTTCCAATAACAAGTCACCAATCCAGATTCAGGCAGCCTGATCTGAGGATACTGCATATATTAATATTAATCTTTAGAACAAGCTTCTGAGGTTGTATCTACCATCATCTTTAATTTACAATGAGGAAATTAAAGCACTGAGAGGTTAATTAAACTCCTCATGACTGGGACATGTGAGAACTGGGTTATACACGCAGGCAAGCTCAGAACACCTCTATTTATCACTATACTGTGCCATAGCCATGGTTGTATCTAACCACAGGTGAAAATACTACGCAGACACTAAAGCATTAATTACTGCGAAATGCATATTCAGTATAATCTCAGCTATATGTAAAATTACAGGGAAATGAAGTCAGTAACAACGGGCCCATTCCAATGTAAAGAATATGTTTCCTTTTCTTTTTCTTTTCTGTCTTTTCAAATTTCTTTATGATGTATGTGTCATCTTTACGATTCAAAAAATGAAATGATAAAATTTGTGCTAAGGACTAATAACTTTTTGGCATTTATTATGCCTGATCCTTTAGGTTTAAATACTATCCTTACCAAGCATCTTCTTCTAAACAAGAGAAAAGCAGGTCAGGTCTCTCCAGCAGGAAAAAGAGTAAACTTTGGGAAGAGCTGGGGGCAGGGATTCTCATCTCTGAGATAACATTCCAGCATCCCATTTTTTTATCTTCCGGTTATTGTTTACAATCCTATTCATCTTGGTGGGTGCTGAGAATCCTGAATGTTTTGTCTTTCCATTTTCTGGCATTAACTGGGATTCTTGTTTTGATCTTCTTGCCATGAGCTACAGGCTCTTAAAAGATCTTGTGCAGAAATTATTGTGTCTGTTCCCTCAGGGGCTTGCTGTCTTATCGCCCCTGACAGAGCACAGCCTTGGGTACCATTTTCCAGAGATGAAAGGAAGGGGTGTTCCAGTAATTAAATAATCATATTACTACAAATTCAACATATGCATCATACATGATTGTGCAAGAATTAAGAGACTTTAAATAAGCCTACTTCAGGATTATTATTGTAGGGCTCCTGACCAGGGCTGGACACTCAGAAACTAGGCCGGGTCCCTGCTGAGCCCATGACAGACTTTGAGAGTTGTTTATAAAGTAGATTTCAGGGGCCTCCCTGATGGCCTAGGGGTTAAGTCTCAGGGTGCTGGCCAAAGCTTGAGTTCGATCCCCGGCCAGGGAGCTTGTCCATATATGGCGCAGCAAGACCTCTCCTGTCTTGCCTACTGCTCACCCCTTAGCAGCAAATTTCAGTAGAACTTCCTGTTCTGCTCCCTACTCTATCTCTGCTGAATCCTCTAACACACCTCCACACACACACACAATTGCCCCCATACCTCTGACCTACCCTCCGGATCTTCTACACAAAAATAAAAATAAAGTAGATTTCAGATACTGATTTATTTACTCCTCCTATAGCCTTCTGTTATAAAATGAAAATAAAGAAAAAAGTCATAGGAAGTGACTCTAGTTTATGACGCCAGGAAATGTGAGATTCACCCCAATGGCATCTGGAAGACTAGAAAAGGTCAGATAAATGTATGCACCCTCAATTAGCTAGCTTCAGAGACCATTACTAATTAACTACCATGCACTTCCTTTTGACCTTAACAAATCTGCCACCTACAAGCTTATTTTGTGTTACTGACCACAATCTGACTTAGTTCTTAGAAACCAGCTGTCTCACATTGGTTGCTTCTTACACTGAGAGCTGCTTTTTTTTTTTATTTTTATATTCCCCATACAATTGCACCCCCCATATTTTGACCTCAATCCCTCCTTTCCCTGCCCCCCCCAATAGTGTGTCTCTGGTTTATAGTTGTTTGTTGATTTCGATTTCTACTTTATTATAATTAGTCTTTTTCCTGGTCCCTTATTTAGGTTTTCCTGCGATGAGTGAGACCATCCAGTGTTTTTCTTTTTCTTTCTGGCTTATTTCACTGAGCATGATCCCTTCCAGCTCCATCTATGTTTCTGCAAATTGCATGTGTTTATATTTTTTGATTGCTGAGTAGTATTCCATTGTGTATATGGCCAACAGGCATATAAAAAAATGTTCAACAGGCAAATAAAAAAATGTTCAACATCACTTATAACCAGGGAAATGCAAATCAAAACTACAAAGAGAGCTGCTTTTTCACTGTCCCAACAGCTGCACAGAAATAAAAAGGTAAGGGATAATGGGGTGGTGAGGGGAGGGATCCTCTGGGTTTCCAAGGAAGTGAGAGCAGTTTCTCAAAGAGTGAAAGATTCCTACTTCCAACTCATGTTTTTGGATGGTCTAGAAATTTTCCCTGTGTTTTAACTGTCTCCAGAAAATTGTCTTCTGTATTCTGTTGCTGGTTTGCCTCAGGTTTTCCTTCTGTCATCTCCCATTAACCTTTGGAAGCTGAAATTAGTGACAATTGAAAGAGCCTGAAAGGATCTGAAGTCCCAGGGTTTTGCACCCAGGAAATCAATCAGTGACCCTGAGTCCACTACACAGAGGAAACCACACAGCTCTGAAAAGCAGGCTGGTGCTCCCATTTATCCTGTGAAAAGCAAATTAAAGATCCAGCATGGCAAGGCCTTCTGCTGTTCAACTTTAATGTCCCAGAGATAATTGCTCAGTTTCTATTACAGAAATCATTCTGGCATAAATAGATAATGAGCAAAATGGGATTTTCCTTTAGCAATCAATGTAAAAAGCAACACTGCCCAACGCCCATCAACTCTTCTGGATGTGCCAGAAATCTCTAACAAGGGCAGCTCATGAGAGGACAAATGAGAGACAAGGGACCAGTTCAGATGCTAAAAACAAGAATTAGGAGTCAAAGAACACATTCAGTTACACTGATTAAACTTCTGGAAAAAAATCTTATTCGAGTCTTAATCAAAGTATGTGAACTTTCTGGAGCTTTATGCAAAAATTAAGGCATAGGCATTTTTCTGCTATAAAGCGCCAAAGTTTTAATAAAATTTTCAAACAGATCTGGGACTCCAAAAACATTTAATAATTGCACTTCATTGTTGCCATCTGGGCCAATCAGGACACAACCATTGTGTCTTACTTACACAAACCTCAAAAAAATCCCTAAAAATATGAGACCACTAAACTCAGTGACTACCATTCTGTAGAAAAGGAGAAGTATGAAAGTATCTGCTTAACTGGATCATGTTGTCAATCAATGCAGTTCACAATACATCTCCAAAGAGTTAAGACAGCTCTTTGATGCAGATGTCATCTAAACTGCAGTCCCAACCTTGATAGATAAGTGGCCACCTTATGATAGATATTAAAGCAGCCCCCAAGTAAAAATGAATGAAATCCCAACTATGGGATTTATTACATAAAATTAGTTATTCTAGTTGCTTCTATAATTAAAAAATAAATTCCTGTAATTCATGGAAAAATAAAGCAGTAAACTATATAGTGGGACTGTGCTCCTTTAGGAAAATAAATGACCTCTCTAGTATTTTGTGCATTTATAATAAATGACTTTTAAATGATGGTAAAAAAAAAAAAAAAGTTCCTTGAGGGGTTTCACTATGTTGACATGACAAAAGAGCTGAAGAGAGAAAGGAAGGTTTGTTGGGTTTCACAGAAGGTCATTTTGTTAAATAACCTACATTCCTAGATTTTTCTCTCCAGCATTAACCTTCAGCCCTATTGATTCCCAAAAATAGATAATGAATTCAGCCAAATGGCAATGCCAATCCATGACGGGAACCATGTCCTCAGCCCCATGAAGTCACCTGTACAAGCTCCATCATGTCTTTGACAAACCCATCAACTTCAGGGCCTTCCAGCGCTCCAGTTTTACTCTGAAAGATCAATTAATCAAATGTCACTTTTGCACCAGTTTTACTCTGAAAGATTAATTAACCAAATGTCACTTTTGCTTCCATTTTACTCTAAAAGATCAATTAACTAAATGTCACTTTCTTAAGTCAAAAAGTTAAAGATAAATTAGGCAAATAAACTGAATTGGTATCCCTTTTTGACCACAAATGAGTTCAGGAATGGCATGTTCCAACTTACGTTCTCTGTTCAAGATGTAAATGTTCCACAAAAATTAAAAGAATCCACTGTAAATAACTCCTTCCATGTAAAGGCATGTCACTACTGCTAAGAAGCTGTAGTTTTTGAGTTTTTTAACTTTGGCAAATAGCATTAACATGACATGCTGAGTTTATTTTCTCCCCAAATATCAAGCTTCAATTAAGACAAGTGTCAATTGCACATTATACTGAATCTTTGAAGGAAAGATTGACTTCATTATTGCTTTGTGATTTAGCAGTGATTTTATGATTACTGAAAATATTTATTTTAAATCAAAGGATTCAGATGGTGTGAGCATATTAGAATTATTTCTGGGTCTATACATAAAACCTTTATTTTTTTCTACCTGCTATTTATCGTATAAATTGAGAGTCTTTGAGTAAGATGTCCCCACATAGGGGCTAAACTAGCTTCCTACTATAAAACAGCCAGCACAAGATGAAGAGGCAGACTTACAACATCATAATGGGCAAAAATTTTCTCAAAGTCCCTCTTTCTTTCTTCAGTGGAACAAGCCTGTGTACAAATAAAATAGCACATCAATCCAGCAATGTGAAACTTCAGTGGTGCGATTCTTCCAGTGTTCTGGAGAACTTAAAAAAACATTGAGTCAATGACCCTTAATCCCTTGATTCCACCCCTGAGCCTTGTCTGTCTATATAAGGTAAAGGCTAGACAATTAGATGTCTTCCTTTCTTCCCTTTGCCTCAGATCTATGGAGAAACATGAAAGACAAACTCATCAAGAGAAATACAAGAAAAATGTCACTACTTACATCCATTTTAAATTGAAGAAGGAAGTTTTCCTGAAGAGCCAGAATCCTAAATAGAAAATGAAAAGAAAATTAAGCTGCATGATGATCTTTTAGCACTCAGTTAACAATCAAATTCACAATTCCGATGTGAGGAAAGAGCAGGCAACTTCCAGGTGATACTGCAGAACAGGGTAGGTGTTTGAAAAATAGTGATATATAATTATAAAATTTTTTAAATATATCTGACATATGACCCAGCAATTACACTCCTAGGTATCTCTCCAAAGAGCACAAAAACATGAATTTGAAAGGAAACCTGACTCCTATGTTATTGCAGCACTATTTATAATAGCCAAGTTATAGAAACAACCTAAATGCTCCAGAACAGATGAGTGGATGAAGAAGATGTGGTCGTCTACACAATGGGATACTACTCAGCAATCAAAATAGATAAACTTATGCCATTTGTGGCAACAAGGTTGGAACTGGAAGGAATTATTCTAAGGAAAGTGAGCCAGAAGGAGAAAGATAAATACTATATGGTTTCACTTATATGTGGAATCTAGAGAAACTAAAAGGATCAAAAACAAACTATAAGACTGACCCTTAAAAAGCAGACTGTATATCTGAGACAGGAAGGGGGAGAGAAGGGGAGGGATTGGAGGAGAGTAGAAAACAGGGGTGATGGAGGGTACAGTGGAGTATGGTTGAGGACTGTGAGCTCTTAGTTGGTGGGAAAACTATGGTGACCACACATAAAGGGAGAAATCATATACTGTGAAAAAAAATAAAGGAAATAAATAGAAAAATAAATAACTTAAAATTAAAAGTTTTAAAATAAAAAGTTTAAAAACAAAAAGAAAAATATTACACATCATTTCCTTAGGGGACCTATATTTCTTGTGGTCAGATAACATGTTGACATGCTTGTCATGTGTCACATCAGAATTACAGACAGCACTTTTGCAAGATCTGAGCCACTTCATTTCTAGGCTTCCAGCACTAGGTCCCATGCAGGACATGCCAACACTCAAAGACCACAGTGTGCGGCTGGACTCAGCTCAATTGCCCTTCACCTTGGACTAACTGTTCAACAATCCCATAGGTAGTAAGTGGAATTGAGGTTTTTTTTTTTTTTTTTTGGTCATGGGGCCCCTATGAGGAATCATCACCCATGACCCATACATAAGAGTTTATGAAAATTCTGTGCATTTTTGTGGGAGAAGAGATTTTATTATCTTCACAAAAGGATCTATTGCCCCCTCCCCCAAAGATTCTGAACCACTATGGCTTATCATTAAGGTGCAGCTTGTCTTTAGGATTTCAGGCAAGACTTGATCTCTGTCTTTAGAAAAGATGTGCTTCATATCATCAACCCCCATAAAGGCGTTTCTGAATCTATGACACCATCTCCATGCCACTCACCTTGCCAAGTCGTTAAGATCCAACCGACCATCCTTATTTTTGTCAAAGATCTTCATCTGGAATGCAGGAGAAGAAATGATTGTAGGAAATACTTGTAACGAGAACTCATTGTGTAAACCATTCAAGCAAGTTCCTCTTCTGACTGAAGCTGTTTCATATCCAAATATTATTGTTCCATGACAGCAAAAGTAGTTGAAAAAGATATGCTATATGGGAAAATCTTCCCTCTCTGGCCTTGAAGTATTGATTATAGGAAGGGAGAGAGCTGCAGAGATAGGAGAGTGGATAGATGTGTGACCTAACTCCGTGGGAAAGACAATTCCAGAGGAAGAAGAGCATTAGTTGAGGAAGGACAACAGTGAGTAGAGAGAGTTTTTATGGCTTGGTTTTCCCAAGACATTCTGTGCACCCAGGGACTTGAATGCCAAGTCAAGAGCCAATGGACATTCCATGGAAATTTGTTATTTATGTATAAGATGACGTCAGAACAGAGAATGGGGGTGGGTCAAGTAGTCAACAGGCTGGAAGGAGAATGTGGCAGAGAATTTGTGGTCTGTATCCAGCTGGAGTCAAAGGATGCTGCTGAGGTAGCATAGACTTCCAGATGGGACCAGTAGGATTGAAAAACATGGATTATGAGTTCACCACACATTTCAACCATCAATGTCAGAGAGGCAGCGGCAACTGATTGATCAACAGGCATCACCTTGGAAACCAGAAGAGTAAGAAGATTGTGTCCAGGGACTTCAATTCCTCCCCTCCATAATAAGGTCCCATAAGCCGCCTTCTTCTCCTTCCTCACTTTGATGTTTTTGGCAAACAGTCCGAGTTGAATAAAGATGACTGAGAAAGCTAAGAGGCTGAGCTTTTCTTTTCCTTTTATAGAGGGACTTAGCACTATCCAAAGAGTGTTCACAAGATCATACTAAGCTTTAAACAAGATAGGACTAAAAGGTAAAGTTGGGAAGATCAGATTGGATTAGGGAAAATAGAGGAGATACATTTCTTGGCATATATGAGTTGTGGTGTGTGTAAATTTTGCAACTTCACATCTCAATGCTGCAGAATATCTCTGAGTGCATCTATACAGAGAGACTCCACTGGGAAAAACAGGAAGTGAGATAAGGCTGAAATCATATACAACAGATTTTTCCATTTAAAAACACAGCGGGGATCTCCCTAGTGCAAGGGGTTAAGCACTGCACTATGAAGCAATCTGCAGCCTCTGCAGCACAAGTTCAATCCCCAGCCGGGCAGGGAGCAACCCACGTGGTGCAGCAGACCTCTCCTGACTCGCCTGCTGCTCCCCCCAGCAGTGTATTTCAGTCAATCTGCCTGTTCTGTTCTCCACTCTGTCTCTGGTGGATCCTCTCACCCACCGCATCTCCGGCCTGTACCCCAGGTCTTGCATGCATAAGTAAATCTCTAAAAAATAATTAAAAAAAATAAAAAAAACGGCAGTCCCTCCTTCTTCCTCACTCTCTAAATTCAGTTTATTTTTAATATTTGAAATTAATTTAAAGTCCATTCTCTGCCAACTTTGATATTAAAAATACAATGACCAAATCTATCCAAACATATTTTTATACATTTGATTATACTAAACAGTCAACCATGCCCCTTAAACTTAAACTCTATTGCCATTGATTGAGCCAGGAGTTATTTTCTGTGACACCATCATTATCACAGGTTCTATCTTAATAGAGAGCTAGATTATGTCGAACTTTAAACAAACAGAGATCACCTTGAAAGACCCGGGCCCTTCTCTACTGCTGCGCAAACCTACTCCAAGGGAAAAAAGTCCTTTGCTGAAAGCTGGCTTTGGGAAGAACTGTGGTAAATTATGCTTCTACCCATCTGAAAATTGACTATGTGGTCCACTCAAAAATCAGAATCACAAAAAAAAAAAAAAATCATTGGCTTAAGCTTCCCATTCTGGTGCGTGTACACACAGAGGTAGATATTACATGTCCTTCCCTATAACTGTTGTTTTAATTTACAAGAGCCTGTGTCACTGTAAAGAATATCCATAGTCATGGAAGCTAGGAACACACCTATTACACCAGGCCAGGAATGAAACTTTGTGTAACATTAAGCAAGTTGGATGATCTCTCCAGTTCAGTTTTTTCCCCCTTTTCTAAAGAGTTATTTATCTATGCATACAAGAACTGGGGTATAGGCCAGAGATGTGGTGGGTGAGAGGATCCACCAGAGACAGAATGGGGAAGAGAACAGGTAGATTAACTGAAATACACTGCTGAGCGGAGCAGCAGGTGAGCCAGGAGACATCTGCTGTACCATGTGGGTTGCTCCCTGGCCAGCGGAGGCTCGAACTCATGCTGCAGAGGCTGCAGACAGCTTCATAGGTTATGTCTCAATCCCTTGCGACACCAGGGAGACCCAGCTTCTTCAGTTCTAATTGTGTCTGTAACAGGGTGGTTCCCAGGGTAACAAGAGGTTTCAGGTTCCCTGCCCCACCCAAGTAAGGGTGGAGCTGAGCAGCAATGAGGCAAAACTGGAGAGGAGACTATGGAAATGGAGGAGGAAGGATGGAGAGCCCAGAAGGAGACCTGGAGGAGGCACATGGAGCAGAGAGACATGCAAAGTAGCTGAGTTTGCGTCTCAGCCTTGGACTTGTACCAGGGCCTTGGAAGACATGGAAGGAGACACTTAAAACAGATGTGGGTGAGAGCCATGGAGAGGTTAACAGTGGCAGCCTTTCTCTTTACTGTGATTTTATTCTTTTCCTTCCAGACTTGCCTGGCCTCTTCTGCCCCTTTCTTATTTTTCCCTACCAAGAGGTGCCTTAGACTTGTGGCAGGCTTTCAGGCCTCGGTATCCCTGCCGTGGGCCAACCCTGTTTGGCTGGGCATTAACCCACAGGGGATGAGTAACTTTGGGTGCTTCATGGGGAAACAATTTTATCTATTCTTTCCCTTTTCTTTATTGCACACTAATTGTATTAAAGTTCCTTTCCTTTGAAGGTCTTATACACTAGAGTATGTTTTGTCTTGATCCAGCGGTTGGCAGAACCTACTTAGAGTAAGCAAGTTTGGGTGTCCTGGGGAGCCCCTCGCCTTGCCGTGTACCATGTAGATCATGTCAAAATCTTCCTTATCCAAGGAAATGAAACACTGCATGGTATAAACAGCAAAGAAAGGGAGCTGTCCAGGTAGTAGATGGGAAAAGGCTGGGGCCTATGCTTCCAGACTCCCTCTTGCTCCTGCAGCATTGCCTCTGCACCCAAGGTTGTTCTGGAATCCTACAGTCTGGTAGTTTACATGATGCTGTAGCTCCCATCCAGTTCTGAATATTCAGTCATCCTGTCATGACTTTGTCAGAGCAATCAAAGGGAAGCAAGAGTGAGGCTTAGAGTTTTTCTGGGTAGAACCAGCAAACAGTCCTTCAGAGCAGGTTCCAGTATGGCTGATGGCAGAACGGGGTTCTTGGGAACCTGGGGATTTCAGTAACACCAAACTCTGCCCTCCTCCTTGGCATGGGTGGTCAGTATCTCCTCAAGCGAAGCTGTTTGCCCACCAAACAGTTGCAAAGAGTATTCAGAACCCTCACATCAGGTAATGCCCATGCCCCACAACACTGTCATATGTGCTTTCACTGAAACCCACACCTGGGTCCCTTCCACCAAAAAAAAAAAAAAAATTGAAACAGTGTATTAGTAGCTGGTAACTGATCCAGCTTAATGAATTTACCAGGAATTTTTCTCCTCTAAACTTAATTTTTAGGGCCTCCCCAGTGGCAGCGGTTGAGCGCTGGGTTGCAAGGCTGCCCGCAGCCTCTGCAGTGCTGGCTCGATCCCCGGCCGCCGGGCGAGGGTCCCACATGGCGTGCAGACCTCTCCTGTCACCCGCTGCTCCTCTCAGCAGTGTACTTCGTCAGTCTTCCTGTTCTGCCCCCCGCTCTGGCTCTGGTGAATCCTCTCACCCTCCCGCGCTTCTGACTGTACCCAGTGCTTGTATAAATAAATAAATAAATCTTTAAAAAAAAACAAACTTCATTTTTATAAAAATATTTATTTATGCATGCATGCAAGAACTGGGGTACAGGCCAGAGGTGCATGGGGTGAGAGGATTCATCAGAGACAGAACAGGAGAGCAGGGAGCAGAAAAGGTGGATCTGCCAAAATACACTGCTGAGGGGAGCAGCGGGCAAGGTAGGAGATGTCTGCTGTGCCATGTGGGTAGCTCCCTGACCAGGGATAGAACTCATGCTGCAGTGACTGGTGAAAGCTTGATAGCACTGAGACTTAACCCCTGCACCACCAGGGAGGCCCTAAACTTGATTTAAAAAAAAATCTCAGAAAATTACCAATTTATAAGTGGTAAGGAAGAGTAGGCACTTAATAACTTATGGCCCCAGGGACTAAGAAAGTTGATTGTAAATACATATCTTCAGAAGTATCATCTCTAGTGAATTTTGAAGGGTTAGCATATTCACTTGGGATATAAAGGCTTCCTAATTTTTAATCCTCTCATAGTCACCATTTTTAAAGCACTCAATATTTTCTATGTTTTTCATTTAATGTTCATAACACTTTATAACATAAGAAATGTCTGCTTGTCACTCAGAAAGAAATGGGAATTTAGAAAGATTAAAGTAATTTGTCTCAGAAAGTAGCAAGATTTGAATTTAAGCTCTGTCACCAAACTCTTTCCATAAAACCAGGCTCTTAACTTTATAGAGTCTGGGTATCTCAGGGTTAATTTGATTCACTTGTGTGGTTATGAAATAAAACATCTGGTGTCATATATTAGGCCAAAGATATGATAAAATGGCATTTCTAGTTGCCCTTCTTTTCCTGAGAAAATAAACAAAAGTTGATGTGAATTCTCCTCAAGCCTCAGTGAATTTTCTTGAAGAAATGCAAACTTTCTCAAAGAATTTGAATTTTCTTAAAGAAACTGAAACAGGGGCTGCCCTAGTGGCCTAGGGGTTAAGTCTCCACACTATCACACCTATGGCCTGAGTTTGATCCCCGGCAAGGGAGCTAGCCCACATATGAAATAGCAGACCTCTCCTGTCTTGCCCGCTGCTCCCC